AATGGAAGGTTTCTGTTTATTTTTGTAATCCTAAAATGAGTGCTAACAGTTCTCCAGGGCTTATTAGCAATTTGTTAAGTTAAAGTTACCTCTAAAAGCTATTTCTGTACCCAAGTGCTTCCTCAACTTATACACAACTTGTCCTGTACATAGGAAGTAATTTGTGGTCTGAGGCCACTGGCCCCAAACAAGGGTGCAGACACTGACCCTGGTGGTGAATGGGCCTCTGGAGCAACTTTGTGAATTGGGTTATACCCTGTGGTGAGTGGCAGCTCTTCGAGAGGCACTTACATGAAAGGCTGAGAGAAACTCAACAAGTCACTGCAATTTTTCTAGAACTTGGGTGATACATGCTTCCTAATAGCCTAAGCTCTGCCCTTGCTGGACTTCCGTTTCCTCATCTGTACAACTGGAAAGACTTCATTAGATGTTTTCTGAGGGCCTGTCTAAATTTAGTAACCTGAGAGTGAAGGTTAAGAATTAGATGAGGCTGAGAGGAGACATGAAATTTGAGTAGTGAAGGCTGGGGAAGCTGCTATACCTGTAAAATTAGTGATTGATCTGATAGCAACAAACCCCATGTTCTAGTTCTAGGTTTCTCTGAATTTCACAAGCCTCCCAGCAGTTAAACTAGTAGGAACCTGGTACATCCCTCCCATCATCCATGACCCCTCCCCCATTAGTATGAAGCGCCTTTATTTAAGTCTTAATTGCTAGCAATAGACACAAAAGATCAAGTTTTGTGTAGAGCTCTTTGAGTCTCAAGCATGAGCCCATTAACTTTTCCAAAGCTTCTTGTTCTTCCAGAAGAAAACTCAAGCCTATTAGCAAGTTACAGAAGCTATGTTTCCATAAGAAAATTCAAGTTCTATGTCTGCTACAAGCTTACTGCTCCATCTATTAGGTGAAGAAAAATTAAGAAATTAACACCTTATATAGGGATTATCACAATGGAAGGCTCTTATAGTGCCATTGCTCCAAATAGGCAAGGTTATGAAGCTGACATATTAAAACCAATTTAGGGGATGTGGATGTTTAGAAATTGTTAAATACAAAATCTTAAGTATCCATTTTTAAAATTAAGTCTTTCTGGTGAAAAGGACATTCAAGTGTGTTTTGTCAATTCTTGAATAGGAAAAACATAACAGGATGTATTAAACTAGATTTAGGTAGGATAATACTAAGATTTGGAAAAGATATAAATAAGTGGTGGGTGAGAAGAAGGGGTGCATATGTGACATACTAGGAGGCTTGGCTACAGCTCCATTTTTTCCCAAGAAGAGGAAATAGGGAGTATTCCTGGGGCCTAGACAGGAAACGGCACCTGCAGAATAGAAGGGTGGGGCTCAAAATAACATTCCAGCACAGAGCCTGTGGAAGTAGGCTGAGCTCATGAGCTAGCCAAAATGAAAGCTGGGGAAGGTGGAGGCTTAAGGTCTGAGGGAGATGAAGGCAGCTGCTTAAGCGTATCCAGAGAAAGTGGTAATAATGTTGTACATCATTGGTGCATGCTTTTGAGCCTGATTNTATAAAAACATTAATTAAACTTGTTCTGTAAATTGGATGAAGCCCAGTTAGTTCTCTATCCATTTAGATGCTCCCGTAGCATCTGTCAGGAAGCTCACTGGAGGCAATATTATAGCAGTGAGATGAGCTAATGTTCTGGTTGGGGGTCAAATAAACACAGGGCAAATTACAAATCAAGCCTGGACAGCATCCTTATAGGTATTATTACTGGGCTGCCTAGATTCTAACACCCTTTTGGAGGGTGGGGGACAAAAATGCCTTGCTGCTATTACTAGCCATTCCACAAATTTTGGAAGCAATGACTTTCAACAGTGAAACAGCATTAGTAATGGTTATTATGTTAATTATCAAAGTGTCTGGTGCTAATTGGAGACAAAGATGGCTGAAGCCTGTAGATTCTGCTTCTGGAGTGTGGCTTCTGATTCGAGTCTTTGAAATGTCAGCCAGCCACTTTAAGAGCAACTAAACCTAATCTGGGCAACCAACTTCTACTAGAATGTTAAAAAGAAAACCACAGACCCAAAATGGCATCACTCATGCTCAGGGGTCTGTAAACTCCAGATCGCAAGCCACATGCATCTCTTTGGGCACGTACATGTGGCTCTGAAGTAAAATTGAAAATGAAAATAAAACTATCATAGTTCCATTTATAACATTTTTAAAGGATATTATTCACATAATGGTGATTTCATTTGTTTATGGCTCTCAAATAATTTTTAAATTGTTGTGAGGGACAGGATTGGCTCTTCCATCTCAAAAGTTTGCAAACTCCTGCTCATGCTAAAAGTCCATGATACCAAACCTAGATTTAATACCTGATTTAATTGCTGTTTCAACCTCTCCCAGAAACATAATCATAATCAACCAGCCTGGAATTTTCTGATCAAGCATCAGTAAAATAATCTGTCACATGGGCC